GAATCAGGAGTCAAAATTGTGGTTGAAAGCCTTCGACATCCAAGGCCCTGCAATGAAAAAAATATAGCATCGTTTTTATAACCAGCTTACCAAGAATATACTCTTAAAACAGAGGAAAAAGAGTAAAGCCAGCATCCACAATACATAACTATGACAAATAATTCAACCAAGAATCATTAAGAGATATGTAAACGAATGAAACAGACTGAAATAAATAATCAAGAAATCTCGGAATCTAATTCAACAGGCACTGTAACCTTCACTCCAGATATGGCAAATAAATGCGTTTCTGGAAAAGAAGATCAGAAGACCACAATGTTTCATAACCAATCAACTTGGAAATAAAGGATAATATCATCATTAGACCACTTTACTTCCTAGATTTTATTAACTTAGATTCACACAAATTAAGGTACACAAGAGACAAGATACAAATAAGTAAAGTCCACAGGGAAGAGATGAATTTGATCCTTGAAAAAGACAAGAACATACCTTGAAAAAGCTGGGGCATTCTGCATGAAACAAGTTATCTCCAGGAAGCTGGCCACTCAAATCTTGAGAAAAAAAAAAAAAAAAAAACCAAGTCTCATTATGCTGTAAAGAAACCAAAAAGGCAAAAAAGAAAAAGAGAGAATACAACAGAGATATGTAACTTACCATAAGATCGCAGCAATTGAGATGTGACACTCAGGGATTCGCAACGGCTCAATGCAGACAAGGAACCAAAAGAACGTAAAATCCTTGTTGAGATTGACAATGCCATACTTCCCAACAACACCATGCACTGGCCTATAACAGCATTTCGGATTCACCTGTTAATCTCCACAGGCAATTTCAAATCTTTTCAGCTCTAATAACAATTACTGAGAACTTAATTAAGCATGATATAAAGATCTATGCCACATCTGCCGAATGGTATGATAACCAACAAACTCATGAAATACTCCCTCCGGTTGGATTTAGTTGTCCCAGTTTAACTTTTACATAAAATTTGACCAAATAATTTTATATAATAAATAGATGATAATTGAAATTTTTTTTCTTTCTATCCTTGTTGAGCATTTTCACTTACTATATAAAATCATTCAGTCAGACTATGCAAAGGGACAACTAAATCCGACCAGAGGGAGTATATAATAATTACAAGCATTTTAATCTAATTCCTTCGTAATACAATCACAACTTCCACCGCATTAAGTTCATAAAATTTGTACACAAAATAAAAAGGTAGAAACTTTAAACTAATAATCATAATAGAAGAAGAAAGGAAACCGCTTTGATTTCTAGGAAAATTTTCTATGAACCCTAAAGGAAATCTGTTGATTGTTTTGCAATTAAACCGAATAATCTAAATAAATAAATAAATACAAAGAGAAGAGAGGTTCAACTCGGGAAAAGGAATTACGGAGTGGATGCGAAGGCAAACCGGTGGTGGAAACGGTGGCCGGAGATTGGCGGCGCCGGCGGCAGAGAGCTGGGGTTTTAGAGGGGGAAGCAGTAGAGGGAGTGTGGTGTTCTGCGTCGAGAAAATGAAGCTTCCCCCAGTTCTATATTTTTGGGCCGAAAGGTGTTTGTATCGACCCACGATATTTTGTTCTAGCTTCATTGAATCAGGCCCACATTGTTCCATTATACCCTCTCTAAATATCCGAATATTTCAATTATTTATTTATTTTTTTATATGATAACTCTCTATTTTTCTCAAATTTTTCTCTATTTAATTTAAAATCTCTAACTTAAAATTTCACGTCTTAATGTTTTATTTTTGAATAATAATAAATATGATTAAAATTTGAAATCAATAACGTGATAT